GAGGCTCCATCTGAACATAAGGAAGACAGTTTGCAGTCATTACCCTTGGAGACTCGTAAGAGTCCTGGGCAACAAGCTCTATGTGGCCCTGCCAGAGCAGAGGGCCAGGAGAAAATAACCTTGAGGTCCCTTTCTACCTCAACCACTCTGTGAGTTCAGATAACACCTGCTAAGCCTTAACCCACAGTACTCACTGCCAACCACCTCTTCTTCAGTAAAAGAAATCTGTGCCGCTGGGTTACTCTGCCGGGAATGATCTTGCTCTTCTTCTTCCTGTTTTGCAGGGGTTTCTGGAGATACAAGGGTAATTCTGTCAACATGCTCATCATCAAGGCGTGAGCTCTTGGAGTATCTTTGGCTCCTTCCCTGGTTTGTGCTCACACTGGGTACTGGGCCCTCCAGCCTTGCTTCCTCTTGATCTGCATCAGAAATCGGGCTCCTCTGTGCTGAAGCTTTTGAATCTGACAGCTGGGGCTCAAGAGGAGACAATTTATTTTGGCTCTCTTCATCCAGCTGGGGCTGAACAAAGAGCTCTGTGCTATTCATCATCATTTCTGCATCACTTGTCAGGGTGCTTGTTCGAATCCCAGATGCAGATTGTGAGTCCACAAGATCGTTCTGTCCTGTTGAGAAAGTTTCAAAACAAATTTTGTGTGAAAAAACTGTTCAAGGTCATAGGGACACACTAGGATTTGTGTAATTCACTATTTAAGTAATTCAACCAAATTTTACTCCTCAACAGATCAAACACTGACACAGCATGACCCCACTTCTGTGCCCACAATTCTCCCTACCAAACAACAGAAACCTCAGTACCCACAGATGAAGATGATCCCAAACAATTCCTGTGGTTTAAATGACCAAACCATGCAAAGTACATATTTAAGAGCATAGAATCAAAGGAACTGCGAAGACAGAACCTCATTCTAATCTTGCCTCCCAAATCCCACTCTGTTTTTGTGAATGTGTTAGTAAATTTTAAACTCTAAAATACAGACCACGCTTCAGTAAATGCTTCTAAAAGCCCCTTTCACATAAGGCCCTGCCTCCCAAAGAGAAATAACACCACAAAGGAAACCTTTGCTCTTCAGCATGTTCTGTTCCACTCTGCCTTCAAACGCTTGCATGTCCACAGCCCGGCGCGTCTTGGGCCTGCGGAGCAAGCCCCGCTTTTCCACGGTGTCTGGGGCCAGCAGGGAGCCCACAGACACACGGAGGGACCTGTCAAAAGGGGGAAATTGTCACATCACACACTCCACTTTCACCCGCAGAACACAGACGTGATGGCACTAACAGCGACACATTTTGCAGAACTAGGAGAAATTTCCCCAAAAAGCCCTTGAAGATTATGAGTCAGTCTTTAAATGAATTGTTTATTTTCATTCTATCACCCAACATCAGGATATGTATCACAGATCAGGAAGCAGACTGCTTTAAAGCCTCCCTGAGACACTGCAACACTACAGCTGACAAAAGGGTCAGAAATATAAAAAATCTTAAAATAACAAAAAATAAAAAGGAAAAAAATGTTTCAGAGTAAAGATATGCCCTAGATGACAATAGGGTGGTAGGAGGACTTCCCAGTAAGTTTAATGATCTACTTACTATCAATACTCTCAGCAAAGTACAGCTACCAACACACTGGGACTGTTTTAAGAGAGAGCTGATAAAGCACAGGAAACGTTTCTCACTGCAGGTGTTTTGCACAACGAAGCCTGACCATGCTCAGTGAGCTCCTGTCCCTCTCTCCAGGCAGGGTTCAAAGGCAGAAGCACAGAATGCAGCCCCAAAAACCATCTTGTGTGGCACCCCACAAGGGCTGCAGTGAGAAAGGTGACTTTGGGCTGGGCTGATTTTGGCCAGAGTCCTTTGCAAAGTACAAAAGCAACACCAGAAAATAAGTTCTTAGACTCACTAAAAAGCTTTTAAAGAAAACACTGCATAGATGCAACTGATGTGATAAAACTATGAACAGGCAGGAATAATATTCTAAGGTATACTGTGTACTGATTTACATAATATTCTAAGGTATACTGTGTACTGATTTACTGCTGGAACCATGAGAAGGAAAGGAAAAAAGGACTGATCCAAGCAAGTAAAAAGAGGAGCAATAGTAGCAATGCAAGCTAGACCAACCCAGGCATGCAGTGCAGAGCCACAATTTCTGAAAATCAAAAGGTGTGGTGCAGCACCTTGAAATTCCATCAGCAGAGGGGCAGATGCCTGTGTTACTGCTAACACTAACACAGCTCCTGAGCATGAACCCAGGCATCTGCACTGCTCCTCACCCTTCAGATGTGGTCACAGCCAGGGCAGACAGAAGTTAGGACATTTTAGGTTAAACTCACCGAGCCATAATTGTGCTGTCCAACGTTGACTGAGCTAGAAAAAGTTGATGGCACATTAGTTGAGAAATTACCCTTTCCACAACAGGCTCCAGGAACATCCCAATGGATCTTCCTCTTTTCAGAGCCAGCCATGCTACAATCCTCAAACATTATACTTTGGTACAAACACAATTAGATAACGGGGTCACTTCACTATTTCTGTCTATATTTCAGAATTGCATATTAGAAATCCAATAAGCAATTTCTGAAAGGGTAAGAAAGATATTTCATTTATTTCAATGAAAATTCAACATGAATATACCCTCAGATTTAATGATTTTAGTTTTACCACATTGATAACAAGATGTTAGGCCTTGGTCACAACCACCCTTCAGCAACCCAACCCAAACACGTGGAGTTTTAGAAACACAGACATCTATTCCACAGACTCTTCATGAAAACTGGAACTCAAACCTGTTCTGCTCACAAAGAACTTTATCATTATTTTATATCATTGCAATGGAAAGTATGCAGCTGCTTGTATTTTAAATTTTCTAGAACTGAGAAGAAGACAGGGTTCCTCTGCAGACACTTTAAAACTCAAGAACACCAAGTGCAAAAGTAGTCAAGAAATTATATATAGTCATGGCAGAGCCTAGAACTTGGCTTAAAAAGGTTTATTTTAAATGTGAGAGGATGGGGGCTTTTACTTTCTCCATTATCCCCTTTGCATGAGATATTGCAATCTGGATTCCCAACCCTCAGCTCCTGACAAGTGAGCTGAGCAGGTGAGAACCAGCTGACAGGAATGCAGCCCTGAGCAAGGGAATTCTTGACTGCAGCCTTACCTTGGTACTGGGGAAGGCGTCTCTCTGCTGCTCTCTCAAACTCAGAAATGCTGATTTTTTTTCTCTTCTTTTTCATGTGGAATACAGTGATAGATGTGTCCTCAGGAGCAACATCTGGCAGCTGCAATTCCCCCCTGCCAAAACAAAGCAAGCTGGAGAGGCATTTCTGACAATCCCACCTGACAAGATGCAATTCTGATCACTGAAACACAAGCAGAAGAGAAGTCCTGCTCCCCAATCCCACCACAGAAACTGCAGCTCTACCTGGCAGTGTAATGAAAGCAAAAATGAATAAAAAACCCTACTTACGTGCTGGAAACCCTCTTAGGTGGGACTTCTGCATGAGCTTCTTGTGTGTCCTCATGGTTAGAGACCTGAGGTGCCAGTGGTGAAACCTGGGGCTCTGCCAACAAACCAGAACATTTCCTTTCCTCAGTTCAGCACAGCAGGGTGTCACATCCACACCACAGGCTGTAAACAACATTTACTAGCAGGTCAAAATAAAGAGCCAGTGAAAACTGTCTGGGTTCTGCTCCTGGGAAGGCTGGCAGTGACAAAGCCAGAGGTGACAGGTGGCAGCACAGGGGTTCCTGCACTGCAGCAGAATAACCACACCTGACCCCACAGCCAAAGGATTACATGCTCAGTCCCCAGGATAAGAAGACCAAGTGAAGAGGGCTTTGAAGAGGATCTTTAAAGCTCTGATTTCACCAGAGCAAGGCCTGGTCTCTCAGGCAGCTGTATCCTGCATTCAGGTGCCCTGCAGTGACTCCTCTGTTAATAAATCAGCCACAGAACAATCTGATTTCTGTCTCGTGTAACAGGGAAAGGACAATGGGCCACCAAGGAACACCCTCTGCTTCTTTAACTTCACAAAAACATTGTCTTTCTGCTCTCAGTTCTCCTGAAAGGAGACACTTACGGTTCTGCATGACTCTCTTGAGCATGAGCCGTGGCGTGCCATTTCTGAGATCAGGGAACACTGCCAGTCTCTCCTTGGCCAAGGTGCTGCTGACAGGTTTACTCTTATTTTGCACACTCAATCCAGTCTAGAGGGAAATCAAGAGACAAGCAATTCAAAGCTGGTATTTTCATTACTGAAGACCCCGACAGCAAAAGCATCCACCACCCACGTTCTAACAACAAGCTAAGCAAGCTGGTAAGAAACTTTTTCCAAATTCCAAAGAGAAACTGGGCGTGTTGGCTTTCTGACAGCGGTGACACTGGCACTGTGCACGGGACACAATTCAGCCCGGGAATCATCCAGGGGGTTCCAGCATAAAACCCGCCCGCGGGAGGAATCCCCAGAGCACAGCCACCTAAACCCGCCGAGAGCCCGTCAGGGCGTTTGGTCCCTTTTCCACCATTAAAGACGAACAAGGCTGAGGGAGCGGCCTGCAGAGGCCGCGCTGCCGCCTCAAACCGAGCGGCACCGGGCGAGTCCCACGGGACGGCCGACCCCAACAGCGACTCTCCTTTCCCCCCTTCTTTCTTTTCTTCCCTCCCGCCCGCCCTTGCGGATCCCTCGGGGCACCTGGGCCGGCGCCCTGGCGTTGTGGCGGCCGCTGCGCCTGAGGCCGAGCCGGGCCCGGGAGCGGGACCGCCCGTCCGCCATGACGGGCCCGGTAACGGCCGCGGCCTCCCGCCTCCCGCCGCCTCTCGCGAGAACGCGAGCGCCGGGAGGGGCCGCGGCGCAGTGTGGGGCGGGTAGTTCCGCCGGCGGCGCGGTGCATTGTGGCCCGCGTAGTTCCGGGGCGGCGGCGGCGGCGGCGGCGAGAGGCCGCGCGGGCCTTGTGGGAGCTGTAGTTCGGCGGGGCCGCTCGCCCCGCTCGCCGCGGGTGTCCCCCCGCCCCGCGAGGCCATGCCGGGCTTCACCTGCTGCGTGCCGGGCTGCTACAACAACTCGCACCGCGACAAGGCGCTGCACTTCTACACCTTCCCCAAGGACGAGGAGCTGCGGCGCCTCTGGCTCAAGAACGTCTCCCGGGCGGGCGTCAGCGGCTGCTTCAGCACCTTCCAGCCCACCACGGGCCACCGCGTCTGCAGCGAGCACTTCCAGGGCGGCCGCAAGTCCTACCTGGTGCGGGTCCCCACCATCTTCCCGCTGCGCGGCGTCAACGAGCGCAAGGCTCAGCGGGCCCGGCGCCCCCGCCCCGCCGCCGCCGCCGCCGCCCCGCAGGGCCCCGCGCCCGCCGCCGAGGCCCCTGCAGGGGGCGCGGCCGAGGACGTGAAGCCCATCGACCTGACGGTGCAGGTGGAGCTCGGGGCCGCCGCCACCATCGGGCCCTGCCCCGTGCGGCTGCCGGTGCCGGTACCGGCGGCGGCGGCGGCGGGGGAGGAGAGCCCGGCGGAGGGCGGCCCCCCCGACCACTCGTACTCGCTGTCGTCGGGCACCACGTCGGAGGAGCTGCTGAGGAAGCTGAACGAGCAGCGCGACATCATCGCGCTGCTGGAGGTGAAGATGAAGGAGATGAAGGGCAGCATCCGCCGCCTGCGCCTGGCCGAGGCCCAGCTCCGCGAGGAGATCCGCGAGAAGGCCGCCGAGCCCGGCTCGGCCCGCGCCACGGCAGCCGCCAGCCGGGCAAGGCCCGGGGATTGCCCTGCCTGGGCCGGAGCGGCTCGGTGGCCGGCGCCGATATCGCCCCGGTGTTGTCTCCGCGGTCACCGCACGCCGGGCCCATCAAAGCCGCCGTGTGCGGTGCCAGAACGCGCTGCTCGTAGCGTGGATGGGACCCGAGCCGTCACTAAGTGGACGCAGGGTATCAGTTTTCAGCAAATAAACTCGCTGTGTGTCAAGTGAGGTTACAGCAACACTACCCTGGAGAAGGCGTGTCCGGCTGCCGCCGGCGCTGTCCCCATCGCAGGATGGTCGGTGATGCGGCGCTCAGCCTCGCCCAGTGGAGGAAAGCTTTAGAAACCCTCTCAGGGTGATGTGTTTCTTCAGTAAATTACTGATGCCATAAAAGACTGCTGTCCCTAGCGTGGCAGAAGCCCCAGATTAAAGAGTGCTCTTGTACCGTGTAGTTTCTGCTTTCTCTGCAGCGTGTGTGTATTGGTTACAGGTGTCTCCATGGTCTCGACACCAGGAAGGATTACAGTCAAAGAACACGGTGGCACTTAACAGCTGTAGTTTATCTCGTTGGCCTAAGACTCCCTCTAATGAAACGGAGGCTTTGTAACACATTGGAATTTTAATCCTTGGCTTTCGTTCTGAGAACCAGGATGGAACAGAAGTGACTTTACCTGCAGTGGTTGCAAACCTTTCCTGTCTAATCCTAAACTAGTTGGCATGACTAATAATCTGTACATTAGGCAAGACCATACTAAAACCTGCTTGTGTGTTCTAAACCAAGATTTAAGAGTATTGTAACAAATCTATGTGGAATGGTTGTGTAGTTTCTGTTTCTAGCCAGCATCAGTCCCTTCACTTTCTGCAAAAGGAAACCAAATCAGCGTTGGCTAGAAAGGGTGGAGCGAGGGTAGCAAAGCCACGGGTTTGGCTTGGTTGTGCACTTCCAGCCTGGCTGGTGGAACAGATCCCTCAGCAGCTGGGAGGAGGAGGAGGAGGAGAAGGGGAGTGTCTGGTGCCCCAGCATGGCCCTGTGTCAAAGGGCAACGACGATGGATGTTGAGAGCAAAAGGCACTTCACCACAGTGTGCCCATACTCGCCTTCGGGGGAAGAATTCCCAGGTGTTCCCTGGCTCTGTGAGATCCTTCTGGAACCGGAGTGCATTGTGCTCAGTGGATTGGGATGTCACTTTTACTAAATTTTATAGAGGTATTTTCTAAATGTAAAAAGTATCTTTAGTTTGAAATTATGTAATCTTTGTAACACTGGCTAAAGTAGCTTTACAACCATCAGCTTCAACACTGTATACAACCGAACAAAAGGGCACCGTGGGGTTTTGTAGCCGGAGGTTTCTCTGTAGATCCTGAAGCCAGTTCAGCTCCAGGTGGTCACAGCCTGCTATGTGATGCATGGGTCATTTTTTATTAACGTGTGTGCCAAGTTGGATGGTCATCTGTGAGGATGCTACATGTCTATCCATGTACGGAGTCCTTGCTGTTACTTCAGTTTAATTTATTCTCCAATCTGATGTGTAGCTCTCCAGCTCTGTGCTGTACTGATTTCTCTGCGAGTCGAGTTAGCGGCGATTTTTTCGTTTGGTTGGTTTGGCTTGTTGTTTTGGGTTTGTTTTTGGTTTCTTTTGTAGGAGATACCTGCTCCACGATGGGATCTAACATACGTGATTGGTCCAGCAGCTCTAGATGCTCCCATCAAGACAGTAGGCACAACATCCCTCCTTGCAAACGAGGCTGGTTGTGCATCTGAGCTTGTTCAGAACGTGCATGTCCTGGCAGTCGTGGTACTTTTTCTACCATCAGGATGCACTTCAGGATGTTCAGCCATCCAGCCTTGCTGGGCTGGTTACCTGCTGGACTGTTTGACTTCTCCAGGTTACACTGAGGTGCTAACATGCTTAATTTTAATAAAGTATATTTTGTTTTCTTACGTTTCCTGTCTCCTTGTGGTTTATATATCTATTTCTGAAAGGTCGTGGCTGCAGCTTTGTCCTTTCTTTTGTAACATCTTTTTTTTCCATTGTCAGCTCCACAGCTGGAACAGCAGGAATGTCTTTACATTCATGTAGGGTGAGGAGGAGGAGTCTGAGGTCAGTTCAGTGTACCACACACCTACCTGTGCAGATTTTGGAGCCATTGTGATGAGCCATCAGTCACAGGATGCTCTCTGTGCAGCCAGGAGGGATTTGAGCAGGGAACCAGGCTTCCCCCAGGGCTTCCCCCAGCGTGACTGTCCTGTGTAATGCCTGGTGGAGGAAGGAGAAGGCATGGCCTCCCACGAACCAGCCTAGTGCAGGGAAGAGCTTGCATGTACTCTTAGAAGTTGTAGTTCCACTTACCAGGGTTCCTGGTTTCAGATTGGTTTAGAGCTATTAGTCTCAAGCAAATGTATGCAGCAAAAAATTTCAGCTGTGCCTCAAGCATCACATTTTTGGGTTGAACTGGGAATGTTAAATGCAGTTGCAGGATGGGGAGGTGGTTGTCTCGTTCTGCTCTGTGCTGGTGCAGCCTCACCTCGAGTTCTGGGAGCAGATTTGGGCACCATAGTACAAGAAGTATCTAAGGCTGTAACAGAGCATGCAAGGGGGGCTGTGAGGATGGTGAAGGGTCTGGAGGGGAAGCCATGAGAGGAGCAGCTTGTTCAGCCTGGAAAAAGGGATACTGAGGGCAGAGCTCATTGTGGGCTGTAGCTCCCTCGGGAGGGGCAGCAGAGAGGCAACGCTGCTCGCTGCTGTCTGTGACCAGTGGTAGAAGCGAGGGAACGGCTGAAGCTGCGCCAGGAGAGGTTTGGGCTGGATGTCAGGAAGAGGTTCTTCACGCAGAGGGGCTCGGGCTTTGGGGAGAGCGCCCCAGGGCGGTGTCGCAGCCCGCGGTGTGAGCGGGGTCACGGAACGCCTGCACGACCCCTCAAGTGTAGCACGGGCCGCAGGCTGCGCCCAGCGGTGTCAGGATGGCCGAGCGGTCTAAGGCGCTGCGTTCAGGTCGCAGTCTCCCCTGGAGGCGTGGGTTCGAATCCCACTTCTGACAGCTCGTGTTTTTTGCGTTACATTGTCCTGTAGTTAATTAGTTAATAGGCCTTTAATTGCACGGCTTTGGTCAGTTTTTTTTTTTTGTTTGTTTGGTTGGTTTATTTATTTATTTTTTTTTAATTCACGCTCCCGCCCGCCTTCCTCAGCTAAAAGCACCGGCGGGCGGCTCGTGTTTTTTTGCGTTACATTGTCGAGTAGTTAGTTAATAGATTTTAATTGCCTTTAATTGCTCGGCTTTGGTCAGGTTTTTGTTTTTTTTTTTTTAATTCACACTCCCGCCCGCCTTCCTCAGCTAAAAGCACCGGCGGGCGGCGCAAAAGTAGCTGTCAGAAGTGGGATTCGAACCCACGCCTCCAGGGGAGACTGCGACCTGAACGCAGCGCCTTAGACCGCTCGGCCATCCTGACTTGCCGTGGCGGTCCTCCTTGCAGCTGCATCCCATCCCAGATCCCAGCCGGGCTGTTGTGTCCGATCACTGCCGGGACACCCCGGGACAATCCCGGGACACCCCGGGACAGCCTGTGCCACAGTCTGCATTAACGACCTGCGAGATCGGGCCCGGGGCGCCCTGGGCACATGACACCAAACTGAGATCAGTGGCTGATAGTCCAGAGGGTCCTGCTGCCGGCCAGAGTGACTCGGACCAGCCCGAGATGCGGCTGACAGGAATCTCCCGGAGCTGGGGCCCCACGCAGATTGCCCAGAGAAGCTGCGGCTGCCCCGTCCCTGGAAGTGTTCAAGGCCGCCTTGGAGCAAGTCCAAGGGCTCGGAGCAACCTGGTCTAGTGGAATGTGTCCCTGCATGGCAGGAGGTTGGAACGACGTGCCTTAAGATCACTTCCAACCCAAATTATTCCAGGATTTAACAAGGAGACGCGTGTCGCCCGGCCCCTGCAGAGGAACAACGTCCGGCACCGGGATGTGCCGGAGGCCACCAAATGTCCCCGGTGACCACCGAGCCGGACACGGCTGCACGGAAGGTCCCGGTGCCCCGTGCTGCTCCAGGCAGAGCATCGCCGGGACACGGGGAACGGTGGGGCTGTCACGGTGGGGCCGCCCTTTGTCGGCGGTACCCCGCTACGGCGGCACGGCGACACACCGGGAGCGCGGCGCGGCGCCGGGCGGAGGCTCCGGGGGCGGCGGGGCGGGGGCAGCCGCGGGGCTCAGCCCGGCCGCGCATGGCGGGGCTGCCCGGTGCCGCGCGGGCCCGGAGCGCCTCCCCGGGCTCGCCCCCGGGCCTGGACGGCTCCTTCTTGCTCTCGCCGCTCGGGGGGCTGATGTGCGCCCAGGCCGTGAGTACCGGGGAGGGGGCGCGGCGGACGGGGGAGGGCATCGCCCACTTGGGTGCTTTTCTTCAGGTGGAAACAGCCCCGGCTCTCTTTGGCTGCCGCTCCGACCCCATCTCCGCTGTCTAACCCTAGTTAATCCCCAGCCCTAAGACAGTGCAGCCTCCTCCCTCCTCCTTTCCGTCGTAAAGTCTGATTCTTGTCCTCACAGCCCTTGCCGGTTGTAACTCCGCTCGGTGCCGGGTGGTTCCCAGTGCCAGGCACGGGCTGATCCGTGCGGGCATCTCCGCAGGGCACAGCCAGCGGGTCGGGGCTGTGTGAAGCCCGGTGACTCCCGGGGAGCTGTGCTGGGGGTGCTCGTGAGGCTCTCACGCTCCCTGGAACACTCTCAGCTCTCCAGGTTGTCCTCCCAGGCTTTGGCGGCTGCTCTCGGAGGAGCCCAAGGGTCCTTGCACCGTCAAATCGAGCGGCAGCATCGCTGCCCATTGCTTCAGCATGGGAGGCAACCCCAGCAATCTCCCGCTGGTGCTGGCCCCAGTACACACCAGTGCACGGGGGTGGGTGTTCAGCTGCGTGCTGGGTCTCTTGTGACCCCGCCGCCTGGGAGCCTGCTCGCTCGTCCCCTCTCCTCGGGCAGCCTCGTGGGATGTGCCCCGAGCAGCCACTGTGAAACAGCTGGCACAGACCTGGCTCCTGGCTCCTGATCCCAGCCCCTGGGCATGGCTGAGCTGGTGGTGACAGAGAAAAGCTCATGGAAGGGGCTGGGCAGGATGCTGCTGGGGGTGCCTTGTAGGAGCACCTGGAAAGAGATGGAAGCAAGACCAGCAGCAGAGACCTTTCAGCTCTGCAGCGTGTCCCACCTCTGCAGCCCAGGCCACACTGTTAAACAGACCCTGCTTTGCCCGGCAGCAGCCAGAGCAGGCAGCTCACGCGTGCCACTCCCACTCCTGCAGCAGCCCCCTCTTCATGTTTCTCCCAGCACATATTTTGTGATCACGAGTGTTAGAAATGGACGTGACAGACAAGGAGGCATTGTCGGGGCGGCCGAGCAGCAGGGCGTTGGACGCGGGCAGGACAAAGGCTGTTGTGTTTCCTCCATGACAATGGGCGGTGCGGGCTTACACAGGGGCACTTTCCAAGGAGCCCTTCTCCTGGCCAGAGTGCCGCTGCTTTCCTGCGCTGAGGGGAACTGCTGGTGGTGCTGGTGTGCCTGGGCTTGCGGGCGATGTTCTGTGCTCCTCCTGCAGGAAGCAGCCCCTGAACAGGGTCCCCTTTTCACCCCACAGGTGCTCGGTTTACTGGTGTGGTCTCTCATCGCCGCCACAACGTACCACCTCCACGCAGCATACGGCTGGGTGATGTTTGTGTCCCTCTTCTTCTGGATACTAACGCTCCTTTTCCTCGTGATTTACCTCCTGCAGCTTCATGAGAAGTTCTACATGATCCCCTGGCCCCTCGTGGTGCGTAGCTGAGAGGGAGTGAGGGGGGATCCCAAGAGGGAAACATCTTGGAAAGATAGTCTGGGAAGGCTTCAGTCTCTTCTGGGCGGATGGAGCCAAGTCCCCTGCACTTTGCACAGTGATGTTGTTTCATTCTGCCCTTGAATTGCTTAGAAAATGGTCAAACCAGAAAATCCTGTGTCAGTCCAGAAAGTTACAGCCACCACTGCTACAGTTGTGGTGTCATCCAAAAACCTCCCAGCACAACCTGGGGAGCATTTAATGGGGAACAGGGAGGAATGTGAACCTGAGCCTTTTGCTCTCGCCTCTCCCCAACACGCACGAGCCCGAGCCCAGACCTCAGGAGCTCCTCTTTGTTTCTCAGCTGATGATCCACAACGCCGTGGCCACCGTGCTGTACATCACCGCCTTCGTGGCGTGCGCGGCCGCCGTGCAGCCCACGTCCTGGCGGCAGTGGGACTACAACCGCCGAGCCGCCGCCTCCGTGAGTAGCGCGGGCAGGGGAGGGCCGAGCGCCGGGGCAGCCCCCTGCTCACACGTGGGATGTGCTCCTCTTCCAGTTCTTCGCCTGCGTCACCATGATCGTCTACGGCGTGAGCACCTTCTTCAGCTTCCGCGCCTGGAAAGGGCTCGGCAGCAACGCGGCCACCAGCCAAGTGACCGACCACGCGTAAGGGTGGCAGAGCCCAGCCACGGGCCACCCTGCACCAGCTTGTGCCAGGCTTGGAGCCTCGTGTGCCACCAGGGCTCGTTCTGGGAGCAGCCTGTGCTGGCAGTGGTGGTCAGCACTGGCTCACGTGGATGCTGCCCTGTGGTTTCTGATGATGCTGCCCACAGCACGACCCCACCGGCATCGCCACGGGGACACGGACTCGCTGGGGCTGCAGCTCCTGCTCATCCCCGGGGCTCATCTGGATCCTCACCACGGCAGCTCCACTGAGGGGGCTCAGCCAGTTTGGCACAGTCCAATACTAAAACTGACTAACCCAAGCCCAGGCTCCCCTCTCTGCTCATTCACAGCTACAGTGTAAGTAATGCAATTAACGGGGTGCAGAAACAGTGGCAGAGCTGGAAGAAGAGAAGTGAAGCAAGGGAAGCAGTCATAACTGCTCTTGTATTGATTTCTAACAATTTGAATAGAAATTTTATGCTTTAAATAAAAACGTTCCTAAATCCAGCACTGGAGTCTGTCATGAGAAAACTCGTCTTGTGAGAAGGCAGCACAGCATGGGGACAGCAGAGATGTCACAGCAGAGGTGGCTGCTCCTTCCCACTCCATGCGGGCTATGGAAGGAACAAGTCCACAGGGTTCACCTCTCATTGCTTTATGCACACACACGCTCAGAGTGTGCAGCCAAGACCACAAGAACACAAATGAGCTGCCAAGGCTTTAATCACTCCCTCTTCCTGGCTCAGCACCACACACTCCTGATTTCACCTAATTAACCAGCAAGTCAATTTTGCCCATTAGCTGCAGGTCATTTTCAGAAATTACAAACAAGTCTGCAAAAGCTCTGGGATCACAGGCAGGATCGGCGCCTCAGGAGAGGGAAGAACCACACTGCTCCCCCGTGCTGCAGACCACAAATTCACCTTTTGGGTGTTTGTCAGAACGAGAAGCGATGCCCAGCCAGGCAGAGCAGCTTTTCCTTTCACACCCTCCTTGTACAAGGTAGTAAAAGTAGATTCAGTGAGTTCCAAAGCTGGTGCATGGTGAGGTACACTGCAAATCTTACTGCATGCTCTGCATGGCAAATGTTTTGCCAGGCTGTCTGCAGAGGCAGGATCAGGAATTGGAACTGCATTGATGGAAGTTGAGAACTGAAAAGGAACTGGACACATGGCATTGGCCCATGACAAATCTGCCTTTATTTGGCTGTCAGTGAGTAAATGAAGGGTCAAATTTCTATGGTTATGAATATATAGACACATATATATATATAACAGGAACAGTAAGACAATAAAATTAATAAAGATTAGCATGGGAGGTCACTATTGAATTCCAAAATCTAAACAGAAAATTTACTTACAAACACTGATAAAGGACACAGGTCTCAGCCTTCCAAACTCTGAAACGTTCCAAATTAATTTAGTTAGCATTTCTCCAGATTCAACTGCATCACCAGGCAACTGAGGCTCCAGAATCTACATCTCTCTGGGAAGGATGTGACCAAAGAAATGATGTGCTGCTCCTTCCTATAAAGCAGCTGATGGCTGATCAGCATGAATTCTGCCTTGGCACCTTGTAAAAAACTTCCCTGCACACACTGACTTCTCAGTTAAAGCCACATCCCTGAGAACTGAGCATCTTTTACTGCCTAGGGCCAGGCTGGATGGGATTGTGAGCAACCTGCTCTAGTGGAAGGGGGGTTGGAAATGGATGATTTCCAGTTAAGCAATGGTGCTGCAGGAACAGAAGGAATAAACTGTTCTCTGTGTTCAGCAGAGAAAGGACAAAGAACAAGGAGCTCAAACTGCAGCTCAGGCACTTTATGTCAGAGTGCAAAAGGCTCCCTGCAGCAGCAGCAGTAGGGCACTGTGGAAATCTGCCCAGACAAACCATGGCAGCTTCTAAGAACATCCTGGCAGACATGTCAGGAGAAGTTTGGGTAGAGCTGGGGAAAGGAAGACTGCCTCTCACGGTCTCTTCCATCCATTTGTACAAGGGTTTAAAAATCCCAGAAAGCTTTGATTTCACCCCCTGGAGAGGGAGCCACCGTCCTGGCCCTGCCCCACTGAACACCTCCCTCCTAGTGGAGCCGAGTCCCCGCCCCTCTCTGGGGAATAGCTGCCTTTCACCTCTGCAATTTGAATAGACCCTGCTCAAAATACAACAGAACTCCCTTCAGAATGACTTGTTTAATGGTTTAATGAAGTCACCACTAATGCACTGCTTAAATCCAGACTTCGACCTTCTTTCTCCTAGAAACATAGGAAAAAAAACATCTGTGACTACTCCATGATGGTTTGAATAAGCATTTCAAAAAATGAAACAGGCAATACATTTTCTGCTGCATCAAACCAATTTAAAATTCCATGTTACTGGAGCATCTGTGATTGAGTGTGAACCCAAGAAGATTGTGCAGGAATCCCTGGGGTGAGGGGGCTGTCACCCTGCCAGCTCTGCCCGTGCCAGAGCAGAGCCTTGCTCAGCCCTGCTTGGGAATGCTGTGCTGGTGCCTCAGGGATCTGCTGAAATCTGGCTCCTGTCATTTGCCTCTCAGAGACCCCAGTCTGCAAATTCCCACTGAAACTCCTCCTGATGCTGATACATGGACTGACTCTCTTCAGCCTGTCCCCATTTCCACAAAATTCACAGGGATGGGGAAGAGGCAGAGGCATAACACAACTCTTTTGCTCCTTGTCAAACAGGACTGGACCGACACTGGAGAGCTGATTTTTATTTTGCTAGGAAAAACCTCATCCAAAAATCTTAGCACTTTTGTTTATTTCTCCAGCTGGCACAGAGAGGAGGAGAAAACAAATGAAAGAGGCTTAAAAAGTGAAGACTAGGATTAAAAAAATAAAAGAAGATACTATGGAGTCAGAATGGCCAAGGTGGAAAGGGATCTCTGGAGGTGACCTGGGCCAAACCCCATGCTCAAGCACAGTCACTCAGGACTGTGTCCAGACAACTTCAGAATATCTCCAAGGATGGAGACTCCACAAGCACAGAGACCATCACAGTGAAAAAGTGTTCCCCTCTGGTCATTTGGAAAACAATGTTCACAAATGCAGGAAGTTCACAAAAGCAGGAAAAGCTGCTCCACATGCCAGCTTTATTAATGTTTTCTAGAAATCATTAAATTGCAGTGCAGTTTGAGTTTAAAAAGCCACTCACTGAATTAATTTTTCCTTTGACTCCATTACAGCCTTTGATTAAATACTGTGACCTAGTGTAGAAACTTTTCCTTTGGCACTCTCAGGTGGAGCTACACAAAACCAAGAGCTACTGTGCCACTGAAAATAAACAATGTGATATACTCACAGCTCTGTATTCCAAGAACATTTCTTTGAAAGCCAGAAAGTCTGTAAATGTGAGAAGCAGATCAAATATATCACCTGGCATTTCATCTTTGTGTTGTCTACAGAGAAAAAGAAGTTGGGAAATGAGAAAATTATGTGAGAAGAATTTGTTATTTTTAAAATGGTACAAGGTCAAAAAGGACAAGTAGAATGATATCAGTATTTAAACAAGAATATTATTGCAGGTTATCATATAGCAAAACTGCAGCCAAATATTACTATGCATTATTTCCAATCCAACTACATTGTTACATTTATCAAAATCCAATGAGTATCACATCAGTCCTTGAAAACCTGACCTGTTATTTAAGAAACATTAAAAATTAACCAAATTCAAATGTTTGAAGATATTCAGTTGCCAATTAAACTTGATTTTCTTATTCAAGGGGAAAACCAATGACCTTTCAAAAACAAGCTCTTCAGGTAGCTGGTAAAGCTAAAACGACCCAATGCAAAAGCTGAACACAAACCAAACTCAGCTCTGGATGCTCCATATGAAAACTGCAATAAAGGAATTCAACCACATAACTGGTAAACCACCAGGCTACTGAGGTGCCTGGAAGAGATAAGACACAACCTTTTAAGGGTCTGGCTTCAAAGTGGCAAGAAATACAAAAATCTTCCAGTGCTCTCAGTCTGATTTCTCCTCCTACCACTTCAAACCCAATATATTTTAGCAGGACAATTCAGAAATTTAGAGTAGCAGGACATGCTAGAAGGCAAGAAAAGTGGTCATGCCACTGCCAGCAAGAACACTTTGATTTTAAGTTAAAGTGGAACCATTATCTAAAGGGAGAACAGCGAAAAACCTAAGCTTTAATCTAGATAAAAAGAACTGAGAGGCACACAATCCACTCCTCAACCAAAAGCAAAGCAGAGACTTACTGCAATGACACTGTGAAAGCAACCATATCAAACCCACGAATCCGATCAAGCAACTTCTCTTCAATGTATTTCTCTACTAAAGAGATCTGAAAAAAACCCAGAGAAACCACCCCAGTCAGATCACAACAGATTTCAGAAGCAGATTTCAAACAGCAGCCTTACACTGACACCTTCCTGACACTCTGCATGAGCCTCACTGGGCACAACTGCAGATTCCTCAGTGGGTGTTGCTGGTTCTGTTCTCACAGCCCTGAGGAACAGAGCTGCACATTTTTTGCTGGGGATCTTGGGAAGAACAAACACTGACTATTTGTCTCTTCTAACAAATATTTTTCCAACTCATTTAATGGTACTGAATAGTAGACTGGTCTTTGCATGAAGGATGTGATAGAATTATCTAATGCAAGAAATAAAACAACTGGAAAAGAAGAAACTTTGTTTGCACAGATGTTAAACACATTATTTACTGCAGCAATTGGCTGAATTTCTATGCAAGGGAGCTACACAACTTCCAAAAATATCTTTAGAAAATTTTGTGTGAAACAACAGACTGGTCTAGTTTCTTGATTATGCTTTGCATGAAGGATGTGATAGAATTATCTAATGCAAGAAATAAAACAACTGGAAAAGAAGAAACTTTGTTTGCACAGATGTTAAACACATTATTTACTGCAGCAATTGGCTGAATTTCTATGCAAGGGAGCTACACAACTTCCAAAAATATCTTTAGAAAATTTTGTGTGAAACAATGAGAAAGGAACCTAAAGCTTCAGAAAAAAACTTTTTTGCTCACAGATCAAGGCTGTGCTTCTGAAGCAGACAGGAACATGTTGGGATCTGCTCCATGAAAGATCAGTATTTTAAAAAGGGAGAACTATATTAAAAAAAAAAAAAAGAAAAATGGGAAAAGGTATCTTACATATTCATTAAAAATGTCTGTGTAGATGAGCTTGTTTTCTTCTGAGTCATCAAACTCCTGGTAGTGCTTCTCCAAAAAATTCCTCTGTATTAACTGGAAGTCATCATCTGGGCCATAACAGAAATGCAGCACAGAGTTAGGAGTTTAGTCATCCTTTCTGTAACACAAACCCCACATTCACTGGTCCTCTGCTTCCCTGCTGTGACCACAGAGCCCTGCACACGTGCACAGTTCATCACATCAACACCACAGCTGCTGCCAAACCACCACTTCTGACCCATCTGTGAGAGGACAGAGGCTGATGGTGAAATATTACCAAAACAGTCCTCCTGCTCTACATTTATTAATAGTTATTTATTCTCAACCTCTTTTTGCTCTGGCTCTGAAGTCAGCAAAACATCTGTATTTTTTATTAAGTGAATACCTCTTCCCTACAGTCTTTAAGGCCCCTTCCAACCCAAACCATTCTGTGATTCTCTGACCATCTTTGTGCTTCAGGGCTGCATACACAGAAATAAGGTGCCCCACTCTCACAGCTTTCAGTCCTGGAATAGAACCAAGCCCCAGCCTGCAGCTCAGGCATTTTATATCAGAGTGCAAAAGGCTCCCTGCAGCAGCAGGGCACTGCAGAAAACTGCCCAGACAAAGCATGGCAGCTTCCAAGAACATCCTGACAGATGTGTCAGCTGGGCAGAGCTGGGGAAGGGAAGGCTGCCTCTCACAGTCTCTTCCATAAAAATCCCAGAAAGCTTTGATTTCTCTGTGAGATGCACAAGCATCTTTACTGTTTCTCTAAGAAGCAGTGTACTGAAGTGCTGTGGAGCATAATGTTCAAGAGCCACAAGCACACAGAAGAATTTGATGTATATTTTTACTACACTACCAGGTAAGGAAGGAAGGAAAGCCTCCTGAAGCAGGCAAGGACTCTCTGTGTGGGCTAATTAACAGAAGAGCAGCTGACATGTTTTGCAGCCCTGTTGTTATCTGTAGCTACTTGCAAACCTTACCCATTATGATATCCTCCAGATAGCCAACAACTGCATCAAACTCATCAGAAGTGGTGGAGCTGAAAGCAAAGGAAAAAAATATATTTTCACCACAGCAGAAATTAAAGTTAAAATTAAAAAGTGTCAATAAAAGCCTAAGTACAAATAAACAAATAAACCCAGTAATTACAAGATAACTGAAAAACCTCCTAGTTTCAACCTAGAAAAGAATCCACGGCTCTGATGAGAAGATTGCTCCATGGAGAATCTCACCAGGCCTCTACTCTACTTCCTCCCAGTAAGGTTCCTAATTGCAAGAAAGAATAAATGTTGTTTTACTGGCATTACTGTCAAGGTAATTCTAGTTCTGGTGCAAAAGAATGTAAAGAGTGTAATTAGAACAGCAAATTAAACCTTTTCCAACCCACAAATCCCAGCTGCTACCAGTTTCCCTTCTCTTTCCTGCACATGGTGATCACAGAACTGTAGACACTCTAGAGAATATTTTGAAATATTTGGTCTTGTGGAATAACTTAAACTGAATGTATACACAAGTATTACATAACTGAAGAAACTTAAATACTTTTCTTATGCAGGAAACATCCTTATATGATCTAAATAAATGGGATAATCTCCTAAAGTTATTCTATCATGAGCAAATATTAAACAGCATTATGGATCTGAATTAATCCAGAGAAGAAACCTTTGGTGCCAGCATCAGGAGTCTGGCTCTATTATTGTGCAATTTGTTCAGACACAGTAAATAATCCACAAGATGTTTTTGGCATTCACAGCTCATCTTTAGTGGGAGATGAACTCTTCCTATTTCCTCCAAGGGATCAAAGACAAACTTTTTTGACATGTGAGGGAAAGAAGTCTCAAAGAAACAGGGATATTTGTTTTTAAGAAAAAAATTTGCTTTGATCAGTGAAAGCACCATTTAAATTCAGTTGAATGTCTTTTTCTCACCAGTAAACAGAGCAGCATAGCCCTTCACACTAAGTTTTGAAAATCTCATTAAAGTTACTTTGCCATTAGAGACTACTCCAGTGAAATTAATCCAACAGTAGTTTGGCTGACAGCTTAACCATAACCAGGCTCGCTCTGATCAGGAAAAATTAAGAGATCTTTGATTTAAAAAGGTGTCTGCTCAGAGAGCGATATCCTAGCAACAGCATTGCTGCTGCGGGGAGAGGAGCGGGGCCAGGGCCGGGGACAGCCCGCGAGAGGGCGGCGCAGGGCCGGCAGCGGAACGGCCCGGGACAGCCCGGGACGGCCCGGGACCGGCCGGGACAGCCCGGGACCGGCCCGGGACAGCCCGGGACAGCCCGGGACAGCCCGGAACCGGCCCGGGACAGCCCGGGACCGGCCGGGGACCGCCCGGGACAGCCCGGGACAGCCCGGGACCGGCCCGGGACAGCCCGGGACAGCCCGGGACCGGCCGGGACAGCCCGGGACCGGCCGGGACCGGCCCGGGACAGCCCGGGACAGCCCGGGACCGGCCGGGACAGCCCGGAACCGGCCCGGGACAGCCCGGGCGGCTCCCCCGGCTCAGCGCTCCCCTCGGCACGCGTGGCTTGGCTGGCCATCATTTCCACTCTTCCCCCCTCTAAATAAATGCTACTGATAGTTGTGCAGCTTATCCTAACAGCAACAGAGAAAGTGTTGATTTAAACCCTGGTTTAAGTCTGTGCAAGTAACAGAACTGATCTGTTCCAGAAGAACGCGATTCCATCTCTTTATACAACACACGGGCACCCACACACCTACAGAGGCATGAGCTCACCAGCCCCGTGGATTAATTCCCTGTCACCTACCCAGCCTGGGCCAGCACACTGCTCTGCTCAGGCAGCCCTGGCACCAGCCTTTGCTCAGAGTCTGAGGCTGAAAGAGTTAAATCCACGCACGACAGAGGCACAGTCACAGTCCCCTTCTGCCACAACCCTTGGGAGAAGAGTATGGCAGACACCTGTGGGGTGAAGCAGCAGCTCAGCATCTGCCAGTGAGGAATTTGGTTGAGGTCACCTGTGGATGGGCTCAGCCTTAGGAGGAGAACACTCAAACAGAGGAAGAGTCTCCTCTCAGGATCAGTGACAAAGACAAAAAACACTCTTGAAAAGGAGAAATTCTGAATTTAAAATGAACACCAGAAAAAGCAATTTCCAGCCTTTACAAGGCTTGCTCTGATCCCTCAGCAGAGCTACCCAGTGCTACACTGACCACAGTGATATTTAGTTTGACTTCACCTAAACTCTGTACTGATGTAATTCCCTCTTGCAGCTTTGCATTCTGCACCTTGTTCTTCTAAGAGGCAGAATCTGCTGAACAGTGTGGCATAAATTCATTCATGTAATTATATTCCTGTCAAGATATTTTAATTAGCAATTAGCTAATTGAAAATCTGACACACGAGAATGCAGCATACTCACGTGGCTACTCCCAAACTTTCTCCATCAGATGTCTCCATTGTTCCTGCCTAGCCAGAGTGGAAGAGACAATCTGTATGTTTCAGCTGTAAGTGGTTATTTCTTCTTTTTGACCAAAGTGCTAAGGAATAACATGACTTAGAGTTAATACCAATTCAATCCTAAACTGTCATACATTTCCCAAAGAGCTAACCAGGAGGTAATTTTTAATTCTTAAACACAGGAATTCCAACATCATGTTCTTCCAAAATTATTACTACTGCTTTTCTGTAATAACCCAAATAACCTAGAAACTTTCTCTGCCTGTTCAGAGAACAGGCTCAAAATACAACCAGACCCTATAAAGGGGGACACCTCTACACCTTTTCTCCTGAAGTGACTGACCATTATAGAAATAAAGCCAGGTAAGATAAAGGTGCCGCCCTGCTCCTGTGTGTCCCAGGCCAGGCTTGGGACAGCGAGCCCAGGGGCTGTGTCCCGGCTGGACACTCGGCCCAAGGCTGTGAGTGGGCACCGGGGAGAGGGCACGGGACGCACCGGGGACGGGGCACACCGGGGACGGGGCACACAGCACGCTGGGGCCGCTGGCCATAGGAACCCGCCGCGCTTCACCCACCGCCGGCCCCCGGAGCAGCCCCGGGGCATCACCGCGAGCCCGGCCGGAGCCGAGCGCGTCCCTCGCCTCCGCATCCTCAGGCCCGGCCAAGCCCTCCAGCCCCGTCCCTCCCCAGGCACCCAGCGCGCCGCACTCCCTGCCGCTCCTCAGAGGGACCCAGGGCAGCGGCCCATCACCCTCCCTCTCTGCACAGGGCGCCCCGGCGGTGGCAGCCCGGGTCCCGCTCCCGGGTCCCGCTCCCGGGTCCCGCTCCCGCACCCACCGCCCTCAGGCCGGCGCGCAGCCCCGCCCCTCGGGCCGTCTCCCGGGGAACGCGCTCTTCCGCCCCGCCCGCAGCCAATCACAGCGCGGCTCCGGCCCGCCCGCCCAATCAGAGCGCGGCGGGGGCGGCGCGGGAAGGCGGTGCCGCCGCCATGGCGGGTCGGGGAGCGCGTCCTGCGCCGGGCCGGGCCCTGAGGGGAGACAGGAGACAGCTTGACCTGCTTGTTAATGGCACTGGGAGAGCGGGCTCCCGTCACAGAGCTGAGCTCCGAGGGTGGGCACAGCCCCCAGCGCTATGACCTGAGCCCCCTCGGCACGAATGTCCCACCCCAGCGCATACACTCGCCTCAGGTGAGAAGGAATTAAAGAACAACAAACAGCCTTCAGGATGTTTTTATTGTTGAACGGACAACTTTGCTACAATTCGTCTGCCCCTGTGAGGGCCTGTGGAGTGGGCGCCTGCCGTCCCTGTGCCCGGGGCAGCTCCCTGCTCAGGGAGAATCCAGCTCGACAGGAAGCCCCGGCCTGCAGCAAGCCGGGCCGAGGGTGCAGTCCTTCCCTTCGTGTGAAATGAACAGGACAGTTCTCTGCAACACGGCTCCACCGCTGGCTTCCTCTGCCCAGCACCAGCTGCATGGAAGACGGCCTGGGGCAAAATTTTCCAAAGCATTCACATGTTTTCCCCAAAGAATGCAGGCACTTAGCCCCACGTCCACAAAGGCAGCGAGGCTCTAAGGTCACCTGCACACCGAGGGGACAGCAGGTGCCTGGAAGCCATTGTGGACTTGGGCCTGAAGACCTTAATCTCATACAGCAGTTGATACAAATTAGGAGTCCTAGGCACTTCTGAAAATTTTACCTCAGTTAATCCTGGCCAGGGAAAGCAAAGCCCTGAAATTACTAGACTCTATTAAGGCAGAGTTCAAAATGGTTCTGTCCCACCTCTTCCCTAAAGGATGATTTGTAACTGTACCTTAGGGATAAAAACTCATCATTGCATTTGGAAGCGCTTAGAACTTCATTTCAAAGTGATTCTGAATTTTTAACACCCTTGTGGCAGTGATGGAGCTCACGTTTGCTCACTGAGCATGGAGCTGGAAGGGACTTGGCCCTGACTGAAAACATGGATACAGCAAAACATTGTAAAGTACACTCAGCGAGGAAATGAGATCCCTGTGGCACAGATTTGCCAGTCTGACTTAAATCAAACCAGGCAGCCAAGGTGGAAGAAAATCCACATTTTAGCAAAAACATAACCAGCACTCTGCTGCTGGATTCAGTCTACATTTGGACAAAAGTCAACGTGAAAATGATGGACAGAACTTTCCTAATTCACACACCTCCAGATGAAGTTCAGCACCCTTGAGTTAGCAAAGGCAGAAGGTGAAAGGAGTTACTAGAGAGCTGGGTTCTGGGACCTGTGTGCAGAGCTCTCAGCTCCTGCTGAGGTCTGTAGGAAGCCAGAGTGCTCAGCAGGAAGAAGCAGCCTCAGCTCTGCTTTGTTAGTACTCCATAGTACAATAAAGATAATAAATGATTTTAAAAATAAGCTACATTGCACCATGAGAATTCACTACAACAGCCTCTGCTGCTGAATCACTGCCAAGAAGTGGGATGGTTTTGGTTTAAGTTGTGTGTGAATTAGTAAAGTTCTACTATACAGACAGATATTTTTAAAAAATCAACCGGTGCAAGACTTGGAAGAGACCGAGTTGTATCCTCAGTTGGTGCAAAACAAGCAGAACCCCACCTATTTTTGTGCTACTTCACTGACACCAGCTGTGAACCCTGATTCCTTGTAGAAACCTAGTAAAAGTCAAGAGCTGCCTACTGAAGTGCATCCTTAACAAACATCACAAATGTGTAATTAAAGTGGAGCAGAGATTCCCACTGTATGATCCCTACCAAAAAATAGGAAGTGTGGCCCCAAACCTGCTCAGAGCAGGACTGACAAGTGGCAAGCAAGGTGCATTTTTAAGGAGTTAAGAATAAGACTGAAATTGCTATCCAAATAACCTTGTTTTAAATAAATGGGTCCAGAAGTCTCCTCTAATATTTTAAGATATATTCACTTTGGAAAAATTGAGCTGACTTTCAAAAACAACACTGATTAAAAAAGATGTTCGATGATACCTTAAAAAATACCCAGAATATCAAATTAATTCCAGTCCAGCATTATAATTAGTTAAGAATACCTCCTGAAAATTATAACCTCACAAAAAAATGTGGGTACCGAAGTTAAAAGTATCAGAAACATTATGTACTTGAAAATACCACTGATCTTTTAACATTTAAAAACAAATCAGAACATTCTTTGGAATCACCAAGTTATTAAAACCTGTGAGTTTCTCTACAGTCTCCACACTGTCTTTTCCAATCAGTCTGTGTACAGATTCAGTCTTTGAGCCGTTTAATACCGGAAAATACAGAGTCTCTGACCAGCAGGAGGCTACATTAAACAGGAAAACATTGGCATTCTCTTTTTAGCACTGACTTCTGCCAAAAATAGAGACTTTCGAGCACAAGACAGCACGGCCCTGTTTTAGGAAATACTTATTTTTCTCTTCTTTTCTAAAATGCATTGTATGTGTACTTCCAGTGCAAATTTTTTCAGCACTTGCGACAGGCGAGAAGGAAAAGGGGAAGAAGAGAGAACTCCCTCTGCTCTTGCTCGGAGGAACCAATAGCCAGAGCTCCTGACTGCTGAAACCAGCTCCCTTTGCTGGCAGCTGGGGAGAGCTTATTAAAGATTTCAGTTTTAGGATAAACAGATTACAAGTTAGCATGAAATCTGGCTGTGGCTATGGTTCTATGTGCATACAGATTGGTTAGAGACGCTTTCCCCTTTCTGTATTGGTTGTAGTTCTTTAAAAACAAGTCTGTGGCATTGCTCCACGTGTGTCATGAAATGTGAGAGATCCGTCTGACTCGGGTTTGTATTTCCTGTCGACACAAAGGGCAGGTCTCCAATTGCAAGGCACACTCCATGCACAGGTCACTGAAGGAGAAGAAAAACCAGTTAAAGCCTGCTTTTACAGCATGAAAAACTAATCAACAACAACAAAATAACACAAGCACTAAGCAGTTTAGCCAGCCTGCCAGAGGCACAGTCAAGTCCCAGAGTGGAGATTAGGCATGGCAAGTGAGGTGTTGTGGATCCATTTACAGGCTTTGAGAGGAGCTCCTGCTGCTCAGCACCTCCCAGACCTGCAGCTGCTCAGGATCCCACTTCCCTGTGCTCATTAATCCTCACACTCACTCTGCTCTGGAGAGCAGCCCCAGTGCCCTGCAGCAAATTCTCCAATCCAGGCACATCTCTTTTTAACTTTCCAGTGTCTAGACACATGGCAAGACTCCTTCCATGAGTGCTCTAAAACTCTAAGGAATTGGACTTAACTGGATTCATTTCCTAGTAGGCTGCTTTGAGCAGGAAAAGTGCTATTATGGTATAACTCATACTGCTGTCTCATTTTTAGCTTTTAGAGGAATTTGTGACTTGAGAAAATCCATTTGTTGAACATTTAATGAGTATGTGACTATTATGAATTTTCTGCTCTCCTCACATGACCTGGATTTCACAGCCCCAGAATCAAGTACTAATCAGCAAAGCTTTTGACATCAGGGAAATCAGACTCAGTAGCCCAGGGCAGCACACAGATGTAGCCTCTGTACTTCCCCAAATATACACACAATTAGGGGTTCAATCTGCTCAGGTCTAGGATGAGTGGAATAGTGGGAATACTGTGCTTAACCTCTACACATGACATCCCTAAAAGGAAGGAAGGTTATTTCCTTTATCCTGGGGAGTCAATCAAGATGAGCAGGGACACTATATGGCCTCATCTAAGCTGAGCATCACACAGACATTTTCCTATTTCTTTGGATTTGGGTTTTTTCTAAGGTTTTACCTGTGTCCACACGGCCTGAGTTCTGTGTCTGCTACCTCATCACAGCAAAGTGTGCAGCAGTTCTCTCTGATACTCACTTGCTTCAGCAAAGCCAGGCGCCTGTGTCTGAAGAGAGAGAGAGACAGACCCCCCCAAACATTAATTTGACTCAAAGCAATAGATTCAAAACTGTTCTGAGAATTGCATCAAGGCCAACATAACACTTGTAGGAGAGCTGCATCACACTGCTGATAAACACCAATCACAACTGCCCACAAAAAAAGGCTTAACACACCCAGAGATCTGCAAAACAGTCTGAATCCCTATTCTGGTCTGTCAGAAAGGGACAAAGAGGGAACTAAATAACAATTCTCCTAGTTCCCACAGTTGAACACTTACAGAAATTCTTTTGTACCTGGCTACTTTCATGAGTTAAGAAAAAACCCCAAACAAATAAACCTCACAAACCCATGTATCAACAACATACAGAAACCCTATAATGCTCCAGCACAGTTTAAAAGAATAAAAAATGCAAATTAAATCAACATCCCAGTATGGCAACAGCCACAAGGGAGAGAAAATAGGTAAAAATCCCTCATCTGATGAAATGAGGCATTTCCCACCTGGAACACACACACAGCACCCATCACAACTATTCAGTGGCAGGGTGATGTGTCCTGCCCCAACACCAGATGCACTAAATTCAGCACAACTCTGCATGAGTTTATGCAAAACCTGAGATGGATAATCAGGGTCCACTCCAACAGGCCTTTGCCTTATCTCCTATCACTTTTAAGAAGATCAAAGCTGTCTTTTAATTTAGAATTGGCTTATCATTGCCAAGCAGTTCAGGTTGTAGGGCAGGGATGATCTTTGTTTACACAAAGAACAACAGTGTCCAGCCTTGAATGGAGCCTTTCAGTGCTATTGCATAATGCAGAGTCTGTAACACAGGAGGCCAAATTTCACCAGTCAGGCATCAACAGGAAACCAGTTTCCCCCAGTTTGTCTCTCATCTTTTGGCACAATCATTAACAGCTCTCACAGCTATTGCCTGAACATTGCAAGAGCAGTGCCAGAACATCAATCCCACCTGAGCATCAGCCAGAAACTACAAACCTCTCATCCAGTGTGGGACACTACCAAGGCAGAAGAACACA